ATTCCTTCTTGTTGCTTGGATGAGCAGAGAAATTCTTTTCAAAGATGAATTCTACTGTCATTTCGTCCCTGGGGTGTGAGCTCAGGGGAAGTTCGACTAGTAGTTTTGCCGCATCCCTAGATCTGAGGATGCGGTCACTGCCATTACCACAAGAAGTGATTCTTAGTAGGGCGGCTTTCCGCTGTAACTCTACTACGCAGTGTAGCGGAGTGAGTTCCATGAGAACTTCCAGTGCCGCAGTGGGGCAGGTTCTCATTGCTCCTGTCATACATATGCATGCCAGTCTTTGCAGCCTTTGGAGCTGTTTCTGTGCGGTAATGAGCCTAGCTCTTTTACCTCAGGCTACTGAACCATATGTGAGTATTGGCCTCACAATTATGAGGTACAGCCATCTGATGATTTGGGGTGAGGTCCCCCAAGATTTCCCTGCACTTTTCCGACAGGTGAAGAGAGCCCTGAGGCACCTATCCACTGTCTTTTGCATGTGGGTTGCAAACGTTAGTCTCCTGTCGAAGGTAACTCCGAGGTACTTAACTTCCCGGCTTATTGCTACGGGAGTACCTAATAGCATGATTTGTCTCAATTTTTTTAGTTTGTACTTCTTTGTAAAAGGAACAATGACTGTCTTTGCGGGGTTGAGGTTAAGCCCAACTTCCCAGCACCAGTCTAGCGTTATCTTGAGTCCCAGTTGGACAATATCGCAAAGCGTTTCTTCAAATTTCCCTTTGGCTACTATTAATATGTCATCGGCATAGCCCTGGCATTGTATTCCTCTATCGGCGAGTTTCCTTAGTAGTTCATCCACTAGTAGGCTCCACAGTAGAGGAGATAAAACTCCACCTTGCGGACATCCTCTGCTCGTGGAAACGGTCATTATGCTAATGCCAATGGTCGCCATTGCCTGTATGGAGCTTAACAAAGCTCCAATCCACCTTCTTGTTGTCGCGTCTATATTCCTTCTGGCGAGGGCCACTAAGACAGCATCAGCATTGTCAAAGGCTCCCTCTATATCCAGAAAGGCACAGATTGCAACTTCTTTGTTGTCCACTACCCCTTCAAGGGTGTGACAAAGTTGGTACAGTGCAGTGTCAGTTGAACGACCTGCCCTGTATGCGTGCTGCGTGGGTTGCAGCGGACAGTCGTTAAGAACTGTGCTCCTAATATGATAGTATACCAGCTTTTCCAACGTTTTAAGGCAAAACGAAGTTAAGCTGATAGGTTTGAAGGACTTGGTGATGTCTTTCTTCCCAGCTTTGGGGATGAAGACCACCCTAGCTCTACGCCACGCATTTGGGATGTGTCCAATTGCTAGGCTGCTTAGCATCAGTCTCCTTAAGCAGGTTAGGAGTAAATCCAGTCCCTGCTGCAGGAATGATGAAGAGATACCATCCAGACCAGGTGACTTAAATGGTTGGAAAATCCCAATTGCCTATTTAAGTCTCTCCGAAGAGACTAGCTTCTCATTGCTTCTCTCTGCACTTCTAGGGCAGAAGACTGTAACATTGTATGCCGCAGGAATGTCTTTTCCTACCTTAGTGTCAAGGGTCACGCCCTTCCATGTTCTTAGCTGAGGCGTCACAGTCCTCAGCAAGTCCGCTGTGTCCTGGTCCAAGCAGTCTATCAGGAGGTATCCGACCCCAAAGTGGATTCTTCTGAAGGCGACCGCTGAGTCCCATTCTGACATGACCACATCGTCCATAATGGCCTCCTCGTCGCCGCCGCCTTCGATGTGCTCGGCCCATCAGGCCTTGGGGGACGAGTGGGGGGTGCCGCTGCCTCTTTGGTGCCCTCTGACTTGGACCTTTTCGGGGTGTCTATCGGAGGGGTGAGGATACTATTTGCCCGCTTGCTGGCAGGGGCAACGTTTTGTGCCACTGGTCGTGGCTCCTTCGCCTTCTTCAAAGCTTCATCATGCCCTGCTAAAGATACCTGAGGTACCATTTGACCTTGGACCCCGACAGACCTTTCCTGTTGGGGTCGCCAAGGCCTCCTGGTTGTCCTCTGGCTGGAAGGACCTCTGCCTTATTGGCGGGCTTGGTCTTCTGTACAGCCGCGGGGGTGGGCAAGCCGGCCGGGATGGTCCTGCCGGTAGCCCACGTTCCCGAACTGGAACAGTCGGTCGCTATGGGGGTTGTCCCACATTCTGCGTCCGTGACGCACTCCTGATGAAAGCTGCGCTCCTGGGTGGGTGGGGTCCCACCTGGGGTCGCACTCCGTCAAGGAGTCTTTCTTCAAAAAGCCTTGCGGCACTTGAGGCAGGGATATCCTGCGGTATTTTGGATTTCGTAAACTTTTTCATGTTTGAATCCCACGAGTTGCGGAGAAAGTATAGTCCACCCGGGTAGAGATCCGCCATACCCGGGTAAGGCATGGTTAGGACAGGCGGTCGCCACTTGCCTGAACCCACCGTGAGAGACTGGGCTATTTGTTAATCCGGGCCCCCAGCCAGGCTGACTATCGGCACGGGTCGGATGACACCTTAGTCCGGCACCGGAGTGAGATTGTATGGGGAGAGGAGTTGGTAGGTAGTCGTGAGGGAAGAGGAGTGTGTGAGGCTATACTTTTGAAGACGGCCAGACAAACGTCTCATCAGTACACCGACTCCGGTGTACCCGCTGTTTGTCCGGGGTTGCTTATTATCTTGTTTTCTCACATGCTGAGCAGGCCTTCTGTTCGCATGCAAACAGTCCAATGTTGGGTCAGCAAAGTATCAGTTGCACTGTCGCGAACTTGTTGTCCGGTTAACTTAGTTAATTTATACATACATATGTGAGCTTAGGCTCGCCGAAGTTAGCTTTCTTTCTTGTTAAAATAGTCCTTACGTACTTGAATGCAATAATCATGCTAAAGCTATTACAATATATAATATACTAGTTGACCCGACAGACTTCGTCCTGTCAAAAAGATTTGTTATGAGGAAGTTTTTGTGCCTACGTAATTAAAAAAAATCTCCTAAACAGAACTGTCACCCTGTAATAGGGCGTTGTGAATAAAAAATAATTAAATAAAACATATATAAGGATTTAAAAGTAAGTAATCGCTTTATTGTTAATCATGTGAATCATAATTATAATTATTATTATTATCATTGTAGTGCTTTGTGGTATACGATGTTTTTTGTTTGATTACCTGGCGCATAGATAAACAAATCTGATGGTTTTCCAACACGGGAACAGGCAACATACAATTGACCATGTGAGAAACATGGGTTCTCTAGATTAATACCACAAACACTTAGTGATTGCCCCTGGGACTTGTTTATAGTAATAGCAAAAGCAAGCCGCACTGGAAACTGTAGTCGTTTAAACTCAAATGGCACATTAGTCGGAATCATTGGGATGCGCAGTATGAGAACATCTTCTCCTTTATACTTTCCTTTGAGTATAGTTGCTTCTATCACATTGTTTAGTAATTTTTTTTATCGCTAACCGTGTACCGTTTCAAGGATGCGGTTGGTTGATATTTCGCAACATTATAACCACCGATCCAACCTTTAAATGAAGATTGTGAGGTGGCAAACCTGGCAAATTCAGCGAGTTTAAAAATTCCGGTGGATAGTTGACTACATCATCTTGATTAGTAGCCGAATCAACTGATTTATATATCCTCAATTCGCCTGTAATTTGTTCTTGAATTTTGAAATTTAATTCATTCACATCTATGTTTTTTGCAGCCAGTATAGCTCGTTCGCTCAACCAATCATGGTTTCTGTAATTTTGAGAAACATCTGGAAACACCTTCTGAATAAGTTCATCTTTTGATCGTATTAACTGACAAAAACTTTGAGGAAAGTTAATGCAGCCAGTCAACATGTCTATAGGAAATTTGCCATTACCAATGTCAATGAGTTGTTTAGAAAATATGTTTCCAGATTGGTAATTTTGCAACTCGACACGCATATTCTTGCTTAAATGAAGTACCTTGACATGTTTCCACAAATTGGAGGACTTTAGACATGCATTGAGTTCATCAGCTGGCGTTGATCGTGGAATCACTGGCAATGTTTGACGAAAGTCTCCTCCTAATAAAATCATTGCACCACCAAATCGGTTATTATTGCTGCGTAGATCTTTTAAGGTTCTGTCTAAAGCCTCCAAAGATTTTTTATGTGCCATCGTGCATTCATCCCAAACAATCAATTTACATTGCTGCAAAACCTTTGCCATTGCAGAGTTATTCGAAACGTTGCAGGTTGGAGTTTCATTGCTTTGCATATTTAATGGCAATTTTAGTGCTGAATGGGCTGTTCGGCCACCTTCAAGCAAAGTTGCTGCGATTCCCGACGAAGCGAGTGCAAGTCCAATTTTATTTTGTGAGCGAATTGTTGCTAATATTAATAAAATCAAAAAAGTTTTTCCTGTACCACCAGGTGCATCTAAGAAGTAAATCCCTCCAGTTTTATTATTTGTACATACATACTTCCGTTGTTTATTTAACAGTGGAAGATTTGTTTGTGATATCCGAATTCTTTCTCGTTCAATTCCATCGTCACGTTCTTGTGCACTACGATTAGTTCGGTAATTAGCTTGGTTTGTAGCATTTCTGGTTCTTCTACCTAAATTTCTTCGTCTTATAGGAGGCATTATTTTTCACTAATCACTAATTAAACACTCGGCACAAAACACGATATACGAATTTGTTTTGTGTATTCGTTGACAAAAAAAAAAGCATGACTACGTTTTAGTTACAAATCATTTGTATGGGAAAAAGAAATGGTCTATTTTTATGGTTTTTCCAGCAATAATTCTAATTCTTTTTTTTTACAAACCATCCTTGAACTTCAACGAACATTTTAAAATAAGATTTAGCCAATTTGGTCCAGGCGTTGTTGAGTTATGCGCTTACCAACACATTTTGCGTTCCATTTTTATATATAAGATAATATATAAGCCTGTCAAATAATGCTATTTATTCCAGTATTCTTGGGAATTTCTCTAAGTTTATACAAAGTTAAATATTACGTTTTATCTTTTAAAAATGAATTAAATTTTTTATTTCAGATTCGTTGATATGAATAGCAGAGGATCAAATAACACAATTGCTCGCTTTAACGTTAACACGAGCGTGGACACACTTCTTATATTTAATGAAGATTCATCACGCTTCATAGCAAGTATTTCAATGCCGGACATCCCAATTCAAACGTTAAAAAACATAGTTACTAGTAATCAATTCTTGGTATTACCTAGATTATCATCACAGGGTATGCTAGAAAGTAAGTATTAGCAATTAAGGATTATGTAGACTACGGCACAAGTTTAAACAAGTATAAATATACCTACTAATATGAGGATTATTTTCTTCAAATGTTTTAATGTTATCAACCGGTGTTGGAAACTTTAAGCCAACAAAATTTAATCTTTTATTATTTATAACTATTAAATCCGCTTTAATGTTATTAAGAACTCTTTGTTTATAATAAAAAGGTCTAGATCGATTATAAAGCTGATATTAATGCCCATTTAAAGCAATAAACATCTTTATTATTTACATTGACACATGATTTCGAATCATATATTTTTTTCGGTAGACAAATGTAATTTGAACCCTTTAGAGATTGATATTTATTTATATTTACTTCCAAATGTAGGGGAGATGTGGGGGTTGTGGGCATAGTTTTGTTTTTGGCTTATAATTAACGAACTAGTGCATATTATTTGAACATATGGGTATCTGTGTAAAGCTAGAGACCTAAGCTAACTAATTATGAAGAAAGATACTTGATTTAGTCATGCGAAAAAATTTCATATGGACTTTTGTAAAATCGTAATTTTCAGCTAAAATTTTTTTTTGGGGGGTTGTGGGCACCCTGGGAAAAAATGCTGCAAATGGAATAATATGGAAAAAAAAAACCGCAACCAAGATCAACAAAATGACAATTTATTTATTTCAAAGACTACATAGGCGTTATTCATCGTCGGAAACACAATTTTGACATGTATAATGACTGCACCGCATGTTCACACATTTCGGATGAAAAGCTTGATCGCAATGTCACAATTGATGGAGTTGGCTGCGGTCCTTTTCCAAGAGCCTAAGATTTCTACAAGAATGTTCTAGAGGGTTCCAAACAAATTTTGAAAACAATTTTACAAGAAATTGTAGATAATAAAAAAATTTGCCAAAAAAAAAAAACGGGTGCCCACAACCCACCCAATTTTGGTGCCCACAACCAACTTTCGCAGACATTTTAAGAAGTTATTAAAAAATGTGTTTGCATAAATTTTTTTGGTTGAAATCCATATTGTTCCATTTAGTATAATGCTTTGACTAAATAAAAATGCATTACACTTACCTTTTTAATCGATTCACTTTAATTGATACACTATTGAAAATCTTTGAATAAAGTTTCACCACCTTTTCCAAGCACAAAAAAAACCAATTCGTTCATTTCAAAAGCAAACGCGTTCGTTTACTTTGATATTTGGCATAAATCATACATAGGGTAATTGCTTACGAATGATATTACCAACAAAAGTCAATCTTCATTTTGTGAAAATATACGTAGGGGTGCCCACAACCGACCCATGCCCACAACGCCCACTTCTCCCCTACACCATTGACAGTTTAATAGCGGAGAGTACTGATATATCCTTCTTAAAAACGTCCAGACGCTCTTTAAATATCATATCGATTGTATTAAATCAAAACATCCCTTCATAACCTAAAACCTGTCAAAGAGAGTAAGTATGTAAAAGTGTTTTTCAGGAAATATTATTTATTTCGTGCCGAAATAACTAATGAAGTAAAAGTTATATTAGGTGATGAGCCCATGAACGTTTTGTTCAGTTTAAAGTAAAAGAAACAACCAAAATTGGCATTGGATTTGGCGAATCATGTTAGAAAGCTCTCAGGTGCGACCGATTGGTTGATTTGGAAAATAACAATTAGGAACCTGATAGATCATCATGATGGTGCACAAGGAGCATTATTCTTTTTTTGCTTTTTCTTGTAATCTTGGTAACGAAATATCAACTCATATAGTAAAATTGTGTATTTGGAATGAGTTGAACCAAGGCTAATGAATAAAAGCTTAATATGAAATCGAGCTGCCAGATTTAATTCTTGTTTGTAAAACGCTGCACATTTGTCCAAAAACTTTTGAAACGTTCCGTCAAAGTCGGATGCTCTTAACCAAAGATGAAGTAACTAATCAAATTTTCATGTTTCAGAAAAATTTTAGACCAAAGGAAACTGATAAAAAGAAAAGCCAGAAGGTCTTATAGTATCTGGTCGGAGATTTGATATCTGCCGCTATTGCAAGAAAATGTTGCACACTGAGTCAGGAGCTGTATAAAGTGGAAGAGGGATGGAAGTCCGAAGTCGAGCAACCAGAATGCTGAAATCTCTGTCCACAATGGCTTGTTTGCAGTAGAGGCAAACTCAGAGGTCGACTGGTGAATATACAAAGCAACAAAACACGTTGTAAAGACTGCGAAGTATTTCGAGGTTTTTGGGATCAGAGCAGCTGGAAATGAAACCTTGTCAGCTTTCGGCCAGGGCACAATCAAAGTCAAAACATTTGTGTATGGAAAAATTCTTTTTATTTCTTTGAAAAATGTGTGGTTTGTTTTCAATATAACGAAGAATCTCCGTTTTGACTGAACAAGACAATAATCCAAGTAGTCACTTTGAGTCGTCAATAACAGACTGCACTCTCAAAATAAACGACAAGATTGCCCTCGTTGGACCGGAGAAGTCGGAGGACGACATCAAAATCAAATCAAGGATATGCGCAAAAGATAAATGGGCATTAAAGTCAAGCATGAGAGTAGCTTTTGTGAGCCTTGCATCCTTGAAAAGGAAATCAGCGATGAAGCCAGGAAAACTTATGTCAGGCGATGATTGCGGCGCATTTGATGATTCTTTTAAGAATCATTTTACCAAGTGTATCATATAAGTACATCGTCAAGTAGAAATCAGAGGTCAAGGACGTGCTGCGACACATCGTTTCTCACGCCAAGCAACACGGGAGAAAACTTTCAAGTATATCAATCCAGAAATAAAATGACCAGAAGCAATTTAGGCCGGGCTGGTAAGCACAGCTGTCTGCGTTCTCAATAGAACGGGCAAGTCTTCGTTGAAGGCTCCAAGAATCCAACATTTTTTTATATGTACACATTCCATGCCAAAAAATTAAGAAAATTGACCAAAAAGCTGAAAAGGGGTTGGTTACGAAGGCGATGAAAGATTGTGAACCAGACTTCAAACAAAGAAGACGACGCAAATTTGCTCCAGAGCGGGAACGAAAAAACTTCAGGTCACTTCAAAACTTGAAAGAAGATATAGCCGAAACAGAAAGCGAAGATAATCACGAAACCGATGAAGAAATAAACTTTGACGAAGAAAACAACTAGAGACTGATTCCTTACATCAAAATGACATTTGTAACTTGACTAAACTCCTCAGAGGATAGCAGTCACTTCGTACAAGTGGGTCTCTGTCGCAAGAATGGCTACAATCCGCTCAGTGTTGAGCGTTGCAGCTGTTTATTTTTTTGGTACAGTTTGACGTTGGCTTCGGAGGTTCCCTGCGGAAAAACATTTTCAAAGTCAGCGAGGCAGATCCATGTCTTAACATCAGGAAAAGACAACAGGTACTCAAGATTTGGAAGAATTTTTGGACGATTTAAAATCAGAGTTCAAAATGGTCTTAAGCAAGGCTAAGTGATTATTTGGACTCGAAATCAAGAAACAAGAAAATGGACTAAAAATTAGGAAATTTTAAAATTTATATAGTAGGGAAAGAATCAGAGACGACCGTTTAATTTCCGGAACAAACAACGTTGGGATAGTCTTATCGGAAACTGAAGAAGGGAATCTTCGAACGCTACAGCGATGCTGACTTTGGTGGCTGCACGAAGACTGGGAAATCTTTATCAGGTATAATTCACACGTTTGCCTTGGGAGCCATTTCATGGAAAAGTCAGACAGGCAATGCTGGCCATTTCTATTACAGAGGCTGAGATCGTAGCTGCAAAAAAAAATTACGGTTTTTATTTATCGATCCTTCTCTCAACGAGACTAACGACAATTATTCAAATCGCCTAATACATATAATTAATCAAATAAAATTAAGTTTTTTTGAAATAACGGACCTGCTATTGTTGCTGGGTGGGGAGATCTCTTCGCCGGAGTCGTGTGTGGCTAATGTTTCACGTTAAAGACTGCGCCAGCCTATTTGGATAAGCCTGTAGCTTAATCGTATACTTCGCTTTTACTTTGTCGATTTCCTCTTTAACAGATCCCACGTTTAAATCCTTGTGAATATTTTCATTTCGTATGTACCACGGTGCACCTGTTATTGTTCTTAGTATTTTTGATTGGGCTCTCTGGATCACTTCTAGGTTACTAACGCATGCGTTCCCCCATAGCTCGGAGCCATACTTCCAAATTGGTTTGAGAACTACATTGTACATAAGTACCTTGTACTCCAATGCAAGCGGAGAGCGAGCATTTATTAACCAGTGTAGGCTTTTTGCTTTTAATTTTAGTTGTGCTCTCTTGGCTTCGATGTGCCATCTCCAGGTAAGCCGTCTATCAAGGTGGACTCCAAGATACGTTACTTCCGTTGTTTGTGGAATATGGATGTTGTTCAGAGATGGTGGTACGTAAGTTTGTCTATTAAGGATAAAGGTGACGTGTTTGCACTTTTGCTCGTTAACCTTTATGCGTCAATCTGCTAGCCATTTCTCCAAAAGCCCGAGATGAGCTGATAGATATTGCGTTGCCCTCATGGGGCACATAGATGGACTTAGAATGGCAGTATCATCAGCAAATGTTAATGTTATTGTAAGACTGGTTGTGGAAAGGTCTGCTGTGTAGATTATATACAGCGTTGGTCCAGGCACGCTTCCTTGAGGTACTCCAGCTTCAATGGGATGGTATTCAGAAAGGAAATCTTTACATCGTACTGCGAAACTTCTATGCACAAGATATGACTCCAGTATTTTGTGGGTGTTCTGTGGTAGTAAGTTTGTAATTTTATAAATCAAGCCGTCCGTCCAAACGCGGTCGTAGGCCTGGGCAACATCCAGAACGACTGCGGAACAATAATCTCGACTTTCAAATGTATTTCGTATCTCGGAGGTTATTCGGTTTACTCGTTCAATGGTTCCGTGTTTCTCGCGGAAACCAAATTGATGGTTTGGGATGGCATTGTGGGACTGCAGGTATTCCTTTATACGATTTAGGAGCAGCTTTTCAAATATCTTTG